GATCTGGTGGTTGTTGATCTTTTTGCCGAGCTTGGCGATTGGCTTGGAAACGCTTCATTGGGTGGACCCAACTGTGCGCTGATGATGTCTGCTCATATGGTGACGAAACGTTGCAAGCCAATTAATCATAATTTGTTCGATTTGTGACTAATGCCAACCTGAGTTTCCTCCCACTGACCGTCTTATGGCTTTATTTTCAAATGACAAAGATTTTCGAGATTTTGGTAATGTGCTGAAATATTGGTAGCTTGGATGAGTTTATTGGTTGTTGATCTGGTGGTTGTTGATCTTTTTGCCGAGCTTGGCGATTGGCTTGGAAACGCTTCATTGGGTGGACCCAACTGTGCGCTGATGATGTCTGCTCATATGGTGACGAAACGTTTGCAAGCCAATTGCTAAGCTCACAGAACAGACCAACAGCCACCTGATCAACAACCAATAATTTCGAGTTATTTTCCTATCTGAGATTTCCACAGACTGAATTTCAGTTGACCCTGGTAAGGAGATGAGTTATTTGTTGAATTCACAATGCAGAGATCTTTAAATCATCATTGAAAGGGTGGAAAAGCTTAGACCGTTTCACCAAACCGATTGAACTGCCAGGAACCTATCTACGGATTTAGACTTGATGATATCAGTCATTATGCTTTTTCAGGTCACTAGGTCTTTGGATATGATTGAGAACCACAGGTGATCTATTGGTCCGATCAGTTCAAATATATTAACTAAAAGGTTCAACATGTGAATGGATCCGCTAGATAATTTTCCTGGTGATCTATCGGAGTCACTTTTGAGTGATTTTTCTTGGTGTTGTTGAATAAGACAACCGTGAATCGTACCTTACCCGGAGCAGCTCAGGGACCTACTTGATACACCCACCATTTCCCAAAATATTCTTCTGAGTTCCTTACATATTTGCTTGATTCATGTGAGGCACTGCTGCGTTTGGCTAGGCACTGTAGACTATGATGATACTTACTCAGGGTTTGCTGAAATTAGAAGTCTTGATTTTGCACTTTCGTGTACAACGCGAATGGCGAAAATGCCGAAGAAGCGTTCTTGTGCTAGTGAGTTTTAGCGACCCTGTGGAACTGAAAGGACTATAGGCTCAAATGCCTTCATCACTAATGATCCGGGACTAATGCAAGACAATATCCAAGGAGTCCTTTTCCGATTCACAACAAGAAATTATCCACGGATGCCCTCTTATTTGCTGAACCCTCAGTAGACATGCTGAAGGCCTACGCCAGGTATCAGAAATATGACGGGAAAATAAAAATCCAGGATATAAAGATCACGTAAAACATTATTAGGGGATAGAGTGTCAGATAATTGTTTTTATAAACTTTATTGAAAATTTCTTCCCAAAAAAAACTAATTCAGCTGGATGGTAAGGCAATTTTCCCGGCAATTATGGCACATAAGGAACAGTGGCCCAACCGAGCACATAGAACGGGCGCTTTAAGTATTTCAGCTTAATACAGTAGTAGTTTTTGGTGGAGGTGGAATCAATACATGTGGGGAATACTTGCTCTGACAGTCTTGAATTTCGGACAGTTATAGAAGTAAACTGAACGTTGATCAACTTTCGTAGAAACAACCGATAAAAAATTCAGTCATCACTGAATGATCTGTGAATATAAATGGGGCCTGGATGAATTCTCCCTGTCTCAGGGGGCAATCTCTCAGCTAGCTGTAAACCAGAGCGTTTTCGTGTGGACGGACTTGCACAGTAGGGGGTAATAGTTGGATATAAATCCTCCAGAATACTGGCAATATCCGTAGTCTACAAGTGTCATTGTTAAAATGGCTGAGTTGTCTACTCCTGATCGCTATGTACATAGTTCAGAACGTCTATCGTCTAGATTAGGAGAGTGAACGGAAATTAATCCGTGTTGCTTCTTTTGGGTTGCATGACAGCCACATACCGCGAATGCGGTATGGTCCCAACCACTGGGCACTAACAATTTATGCTCGATGAGTATCGAACTGAGAACGATACAGGACTAAATGTCTTTGTCAACAACTTTAGTGATTCCATCTCTTTATGGCAGTCATATCCGTCGATCCCATCAGAAACTTCAGTGATTGGCACGAATTTGCTCCCAATTTGTTTATAGCTTCATTTCCTCTTTCAGTTTCATACAGGTTTCATGTAACTATGATTATGTTCACAAAAAGACACCTGTTGACAGAAATCTGTCTGTCAATATCCGTTTCCTGAATGACGTTTTCAAACTGTTTTACTCCACTCGCTGCCTCAGTATATGAACCTCGATACGAAAGTACGATTACGGTGAGGTAGTAAATCACTGAAAAATGCGTAAACAATGGTTTGCCTGAAATTAGCCTTCCATGTTTTTTCAACCAGCCTCTGTCGAGCTATTGGTCAAAAAATTACGACTGGGTTACTCAGATGTGTCTTATTAATGGATTATGTGGCAGTACCATGGACCATTATCGATTGGAAACAGGTGGTGGTCATCCAAGTAAAACTGTCGGTTTTGGGAACTTGAATAGTGATGGGACGAAAGTCACTGACGGGATAATCTATTGGGGCAAGTTCGAGTTGCCATCACGTGGTTCTTTTAGCGTAACTTGCACAATTATTGTCTTTCTGGTAGCTGCAGTTTTCATGATTCTACTAGAGACTAACTAAGAAACCAGACTTGGTGTGAAAAACTCCGATGAGTAAAGGTATGACTAGAATTAAGAATAGAAGATTTATGGGCTGATGAATATATGGATTCCGGAACGCCTTATCAGATTATTTGATTTGGAAAGTTCAGACGATTCAGTTCTAGTTCCAAGCCGATCAGATCCAATCAACCGGATATTTACAAGAAGGATGAATGTTCATTTCGGATTCAATGAGGTTTAACGATTTCTGTTAAGAATACACATAAGAAAAACGCGCATGGCATATTCTGTTTCGTATTTGGTCATTCACAGCTTCCACCCTAGTAGGCGCTCTGAGGATACGTCAGATGGCTTATTTTTCTAGGTAAGCACGCTAATGCACGCAGTGTTTATTTAGACTTTTAAGCAGTTTCATGGCATACTACTGAAAGGAAGAAGGCCTTCGCTGCAGAGTTATTTATTAAAAAATGCCAACTGACCAGTTACAGACTATTGGACAAGAAAGCAAAACTCTCATATGCATCTTAATTGCAAAAACTGAACACCCATCTTCTCTTGTATAAGTCTTTTTGAACTTTCCTGGATATTCATTGAGTGCTGCTCAAGTCCAAGCAAATGCTACAAAGTGGGTCCACAAATCCGCAATAGACCTCCTTTTTCAAGCAAATCTACAAGAAGAAAACATCCTACTCGCATGCCTCCCCCATTAGTAGTATCACCGTTACACTACGACTAACATCCGTGGGTTGTGTCAGAAAACCCAGCCGGCAATACTCCATCATCTCAACACTGCTCAGCAGAATGTGAGCTCCGGTGGTGACACTGCGTAGAATATTAGCTAGCAAATTCGTGTAGCTCTGTTGACCTGTGAAATGAATTAGGTACCAACCCCTATTAGACGGAACTTACTCAAACATCTGCTTGCCAGAAAATAGCAATCGAGAGTCGCTTGTCCATTTGTGAATGTTTTTCATGAAGACCTAGTGTTGGAGGATTCAAAATATCTCAGAAGACGACTGATATACATTTCGAAACACGAAGAATATTTATTAAACATAAGGCTTCAGTGCTATCGCAGTAGGAATATGCACTCATTGGATTCTAGTAACCGAACAATAACTCATTTTGATATCTACTGAACACATTTGTCTCGTCTTAACCATCAACATTATTGAAAAAGTAATACTGTTAACACGAGATTTTTACTCTGGAAGGGTCCATGGATTATGACTTTCTACAAAGTGGTCACCAGTCATTGAAAACTGGATCGAACAAACAAAATTAAATTGACCTCTTCTGAGGACTGGGCGTCTCTGGACGTGATGGTTGAAAAGAGAGACAAGAGTGTCATGATATAATTTATCTTGGACTTCGGATCTTTCGTCTAAACGTCGGTGTCACCATATGATTGACAGTACGAATTATTCTCTTGATGACAAGTTGAGAACGATAAATTTGTCACTCGGATAATATTGGTTCAGATGAGAAGTGAGTCATGGTGTATGCTACCAAGATGAATACAGGGGACACATCATACTTGCCGTTCTTGGGCGAGCTAGTCAGGCCCCCAGTCTATGCAAGTCACGTGACGTCTGGCGCATCCGATTTACGCACACCGCAACCGCAACGGTGGAACTTGATGCGGCCAATGCACCCTTTGGGGTCAGGATCCAGTATCTGGAGAGAAGACTTGGAAAACAGCCAGCTGTATGTGTCCATTTGTCAGTCACTCTGCTAGGCTGTTTCGGAGCCTGGAGCAATCACCATAAAATCATGCCTGATGTGTTTAGATAAGCGTGTACTTGAGTTTGAATAGAACAGTTTTTGAGTGGCAGTTCACTAGCAAGTTTTACGTCCCTTTTAGGGTCGGTCCGTTTTATTCATCCATTAGACTGCATCCACAAAGTGTGCTATCTTCGTGCGATATTGCACAAACCTTTATCTTACGCTTGGAATACAGTGCAACCTATTCTTAATTCTGACACTCAAATCTACCCCACACTGATAAGTTTGAACTTTTTACAAAAACAAACTCATACAGTTATTACCATCTGATGAGGGTATCTGGCCTACTGTAAAGTTATCAGCAAACTGATTAGAATCGGTATCCAGTGTATCATGCAGAATGATACTTCATTACCCAGTACCTTGAATGAGCAAGTAGGGAAGGTATAACATGGGTAATTTTTTCGTAGAACACTTGAACCGAACGGTGCTGCCGTGTATCTGGTATTTAACATCAGTATCTAGTTTATTTGCTACCTTATGGGAGGCACTATTATGCGCAACCTATTTTCGGCCGATGTTATGATGTCATGATAGCATCTAATAATCTAGTCTGTGTCTTATTTTGACGATAGGTCTGAAATTTCCCAACCAGTGAGATATTTTTTCGCGTCCTACGTTACGCTAAAGCGATCTGTTCGCTCATTTTCTGGGCAACGTATGTTGTGGTTTCCCGCACTCTCTGGACCAAGTGAACCTGCTTATCGCCAAACAGACATCCGCTGAATCTTCGTAAATTTGTGTACTTGATCAAACTACTAGTGAGTAATCGGTTATTCGTTATCGGTTCTTACTTACATTGTGGTGACTGCCTCCTTTGCATTCGAAGCCCTTCTTGACCGTGATAGCTGGTAATTTGGTTTGCGTTTTTTACGCACTTACCGTCTAAGTATTGCTGTACACTTTTCATGGTGCAATTGGGTTAGAAACTGATTAACCTAGAGGTAGTTACGAAGCTCAATAAGGTGCCAAATTACTGAGAAACTGGAAGTTATCAATGACCAAGATAGTCAAACGTAAGTAATCAGTTGTAACACGTGCAAGTGGTCAATGACCAGTACAGTTTTTGTGGTCGTAAGGTTGAATCAGCTTGTTGAGGACCAGTGGAGGTTGTCCGTCTGTACAAAGCGTTTCTGCGCGCAGGCGTCTAATGTAATGTAGGTAGTCTCGGTAACATATGGCACTGGAATTCTGACCGGTTAGAAGAAGCATGAAAGTCGATTTGAAGAGCACCACACAGATTGGGATAAATAAGATATGCAGTGACTGTTGTAGAGGATTGTCTATTCCTGTTACTTTAAGGTCCATTCCAAAAAGTATTCTGACGGGCTTCTAACAGTGCGAAAGATGTGTGATTCTGTGCACTAACTATTAAATGATTGAAGGAAGAATAAACAGTTGGTCTTTGAGTTGTATTACACTTACTGAGCTTAAGCGGATTCTCGGGTGCCATACAGCCTCATAATTGATTGTTTCCGTTCTCCTACCAAACTACAGCTAGGCTGCGTTGTCCCTAAAAGGAAAACTGATGCCTTCTGTATTGACTACTATTCCTGATCTTTCAAGCATATTGTAGTTCATGAAAATGATGCTTCTGCATAAAATCTTCCTCTAGCGGAATGTCTCAAGGGTAACTTAAAGATGTAGAACTCTCGAAGTGGAAGTACCGACCGCTTCCTCTTTCTGTCATACGGACTGTTCACTGAACTAAACAGTCCTCCGTCCGTTTATGCAGTCGTCCAGAACACTGGTTTGTTTTTCAATGACACTCTCCCAAGTTCGTCATATGTGTGCATGAATGCTGAATGGAAACGATCCACTGTGACGTTGAGTGTGATTTGCAAGATTTTGCAACAGACCTGAAAGTTGTGATTTACTACCTCGTAATTTTATCTGAGATCTTCACTGAAGCACCTGGCTGCGAGAAGATCCCGTTTGCGATCGGAAGCGTGGCGAAGTCAAAGAACAGGCTCTTGTCAAAGCACGTTTTGCTCAAGGAAATTCCACGTACAATGACGGTGGTGAAAAATCGATAAACAGCGAGCTGTGGTACCGAACGGCATCAAAATATCGGCAGCTGCTGTAGGTCCATTTGTGACTGATCCGTTAACCAAGCTATTTTGCACAGAACGAAGTGCCCAACAGGTTATATATCAAAACTTCTACTGCGTGAATGGAAGTGGTTGATTCCTCATTGCTAGATAGTTATTTCAGTTGTTCCCCGTAATCACCAGCGTTGACGTTCTTGAAACCCGTATTCGACATTCGTAGGCCAGATTGATGGGTCTTGGGCAACACGCTATACACTACTCATAAGCTTGCTCAAAACTCCCTGACTCTTGTTTCCACGTTATTCTCTCCAAGCAAGCATGAGTTCGCTTGATGGGACTGAGAGTTTGTGAATGTCCAACTACCAGGCTCACATCAGGTTTGCCCAGCGTGCAACACTTCAAAGATTTTGTTCCTTTTTTCGTCATCTTTTGGGGCGTAACAAGAGTGACCTTTGGTATCCAGCTTGGATCTGATTAGTACTGATCAGTGTCAGTCACTCAGCAAGCGCGGTTGGAGATTTGCCAAGCGAGCAAAGGTTGAGGCTGCAGTTTTTCCGAACAGCGAGAAATAGAATTTCACTATAATACTACCAGGGTTCTTCCATGAACAAGGGATGCTAATAACGGTGATGGTCTATCATCAGCAAAGCCCACTTGCCATCGACAATAGGTTACCATCACCCGGAAGAAACAGGGTCTTCTTTTCCTTCACTGTTCACTGTTGAGTGAAACTTGCTGCATGCTCTGAGTTCGTTACCACGCCTAATTGATCACTTGTCTAAGGTTGTTCTAGTTGACTCGGACGATGAGGAAATTAGGTGACTAAATCAATCCTTGTTCAAAAACATAATGGAATATTGCTTCCATGGATATATTTTCTGGTAGCTGATCAGGTTGCTGTTAGTTCGTTCGCAGACCTTGTCAGTTAACTTGCAAGTTAATCGGGGCGATATCGTCAGTTGGAGTTTGGGTGTTTTCCTTCCTGGGTTTATAAAGTTGATATAGTTCATAAGGGAAGCTACTCACAAGGTTGCTGAAAACTCTTCAGCAGCCCACGATCTGTTTCGTCCCTCTTGGGGTTCATCAGGTAGACGCAGTCCTCGAGTTTCTGTCAGCCTAGTGTTCTACTTGAGCCCTAATTGGATATACCTCTACAGATACATTCATCTATATATCAACTAGATTTTCACGGAAGATTCAAGTGAATCTCTCGTTTATGATGTTCTTCAACTGAATGTACTGCACAAAGGTCGCTTCAGTTCTCAGTTGGCACGATATTTGACATAGCACAGTACATTTTACAAGGTAAACTACTCACGGTTGCTGAAAACGTCGACTGCTCACGACTGCTCTCGTCCTTCTTGGGGCTCATCACGTGAGCACACTCCCCGAGCTTATTATACCCACTACTGTGACTGACTATTTGGAAACGAGAGGGTGTTACAGTTTATCAACCAAAACAATAGATATCATGTAGTCTTTGGAAATTAATATGAACACAGGGAGGTGAGGATGAACTGCCCAACCAACCACACACCTCTCCTGGACTGGTGATGAAATCTTTTCAAACCAATTTTAGCTAGCAGGTTGGCGGCCACTGGCTCAACTACTGGTAGTCCCGAGTTGATTTCTGGTTGTGCACTCTGTCATGCATTGTTCGCAAAACGGTTTTCTCTAAAAAGGAACCAATATACTTACGGCTTCCTCCCTAGTTGATCTGAATGCTCACTCGAGTAGTGGTGAATGCGAATGCTGGAGAGTTGAGTGAAGGAAAGACGTTAACTGATGAACCAAAGATTTGCCATTGTGAATTTAACGTTCGAAGCTTGTTCTGTGATCGTAAGTGTAAAAGACCCACTGGTTCGTAACCTAATGCCCACGGGTAAGACCTGCTAAATAGGCAAGTGTTCGACGACTGAGGAACGCATTAGTAAAAACCGCCAGGTATTCAAACTTAACGGCGAAAGCATGATCGGTTCAAGACGCTGCTGGAGTTTTCAGCCCTTAAAATATGGGATGGTTTAGGATGGATTTTCCGTTGGAAGTAGTATGTTTTGCTGGAAGACTTGAGCGAAATATCTACACCACGTTCAAAATATGTTTACTAGGAAAAAATATGTTCCCGGCACCGATTCACCGGCCTTGCTATCGAGGTTATTCTATTCAAAACGCCCTTCATTTTACTCTGTATGGTCATTCTTATCAAGAGAACTATCTTTTTGGAACCCTAAAACGGATGTTTTCACGGAGATAGCGGTCGAAAAGACCTTCTGATGGATCGCTTATTGTTCAGAGCACAGTAGGAGATAGTTAATGCAATATATATATATATATAATGTCGAAAATTTGTACCGATTCTTTCGTAATTAGACAACAGCACACCACAAAGACGAAAGCCATGTTTAGAGTAGCCAGTG